AAAACCAGCTGTTAAATAGTTTAATTCCACTATTTATCCTCCACACAACTAAAAGAGACCTCTCAATGCAGTGCCAAATCAGACAAATCATTTCTAACTTAATATAGGCTTGAGCTATAGATGGGCAGAGTTGCACAACAATCTCATCTGTCATTGAGACATTTCTATAAGCATGGGGAGGGGGTGGATGAAAGGAAATGTAAAATATAGGTAGAGTGGTATAGGTCTTATCACTGGCTGATAATGGTCTATATTAATGCCACTGCTGACTGCTGTTCACTTTACATGGTTCAAATATTATTCTTATAGTTTATTAAATATTTTATTACACTATTTGGTTCAGAATATATTTTCCCTGTGTTCCTCCTCTAAAAATTAAGTGCGTCTTAATGTCCGGTGCGTCTTATGGAGCAAAAAAGATGGTATTTTGTTACATGGGGCTTGGACATTTTAGTCTGTAAATTACCCAGAGCAATGCATACACTAACGCAGCAATATATAAATCAAATCAAATATATAAATAAAGCAGATTCAAGAACAGCTTTTACCCAAGTGCAGTATTGAGTTTAAATGCGGGGTCATAAGTTTTTGGTGGAATTTTAATTGCTGGGAGAAACGGGGTACAGTGGGGTCTTGACTTGAGAACTTAATCCGTATTGGAAGGTGGTTCTCAAGCCAAAAAGTTCTCAAGTCAAATCTGCATTTCCCATAGGAATGCATTGAAAACCATTTGATCCGTATCTGCTCTTTTCCGTCCATAGAAATTAATGGGAAGCTGCTATTCCGCCTTCGACCACTAGAGGGGGATATTTTGTTTCTTTTTTTCTTGGGTCAAGAAAGGTTCAGGGAAGGCAGGGAAAATACAGTCCAGGCAGTCCGAAGACTGTCTCCCAATCCACTCTCTAAACGCTGGGAGGAGTGAGGAAGCAGACAGGCACCCTTTTCACTGGCCAACAGTTAACTGAAAGTTCAAATTTTGCACTCTCCCTGCCTCCCACGTGGTTTTTCTTCAGTTCTTAACTCAAATCTAAGTATGTAAGTCAAGTCAATATTTTCCTATGAGAGCGGTTCTTAAGTCAAAATGTTCTTAACTCAAGCTGTTCTTAAGTCAAGACCCTACTGTATTTGTATTTGTATGGTGAGTGTTGTGTATATTTTTAACTTTTTTTTGTAGTGGTGTTGTCCAGTTTTACCTTGGGGAAGAGCACCTCATTTCGTTGCACCCACTTGTGAGTGCAATGACAAATAAATTTCTTATGTCTTATGTCTTAAATCAATCAATCAATCAATTAATTAATTAAATCTGCTAAGAAATTATCCTTTGAGGGTAATACCTTTCACCATGTTTGATAAAACCAAAAACAGTGACCTGATTATACATTTGCAGAGTTAAATGCTATATCCATACAAAGATAAAGTTCACATCCTGAACAAAAAACTACATGCTCGGATAAAACCATTATGAAGAGTATCCCACACACATCTGTTTCTTTCACTATGAACCAAGAGAAAACCCAAGGGGACACCACAGTTACCAGTGCCCATAGAAATCAGGACTTCAAGTGCTGGGCCCTTAATAGTTTTGATACTCATCAGTAACCAGATCTCATGCTCTCCCTTCTCATTTCCCTCCTGTTGTACACTTCTGTCTGCTACTGATAATCAGTCTTTTAAATTCAACTGAAATCAACACTACATTTCTCATTTAATAAACAAATAGATCTGCATGCTCTTAACCTTAATCAAACTTCTACCCACCAAAGAATAATTGTAGTTCTTGTATGGCAGTGAATGCAGAGAAGATGGTTCAGCAAGCTTCTGAGATAATATTTGTCTTCGAATGGATACACCACGTTCCTGAGTTTCCATCAAAGTTTCTAGCTTGTAAGCAGGAATATGCTTTGCAGTGACTAAACTAATTACTTCAGCATCAGTAAGGTATTTTGCACCCATCTAGGAAAACCAACATTTGAATACTTTACTATTTGCATGTCTATTTTGTATTTATTTCCCTTCTTACAATTAAGCCAGTGGTTCCCAATTTTTCCCACTTGTAGCTCCCTTGACTTACTGGTCACTGGCTGCAGCTCCCCCAGTACAATACTTTAGAGGGGGGGAGCAAGGATTCTGCAGTGCCCCTGGGTGGGTTTGGTGGCACCTTGGGGCACTGCAGCACACAGTTTGGGAACCACTGAACTGAGCAAAGAATTAAAAAGGAATTAAAGTCAAGCAAAACAACAGATCCATTTCTATTCCTAACATCATGACATGTAATATCTGTTAATTCTAGCAGTCAGTAAAGGCAGATTTAAATAATGACATGGAACATGAAGATACATTCTCATCTACAGCACTCTAAAATAGAAGGCAGTGGAATCACATACTTACATGAACTGACTCACAAACTTACATGAACTCCATGGAAATATGACTGAAATTTGTATATTGTTGGGCTGGTTTACCAGTTCACCATGAAGATTCCAAAACAGCCAGTTCAATTTAAAGCTGCTACAACCACTACTAAAGGAGGAGTATAACTGACAGAAGGCTAGGCAAAGGGAGGAGATAATGGCTGAAATTCTGTTGCTTGGCATAGTAACTCACACTAGAGTTAGTTGACTGCATTAGTGAGGCTTTGGTGAGTCAACTCCTTAAGTTCTACTGATTTAAATAGGTGCACCTACTAGACTAAAGTAAGATGCAACTAGAGTTAATTAGTAGGAATTCACTGAGATGATTCCTCTGCAAGTTCCATTTCAAGTTACTTTAGTGTAGTAAGTTGCAACTTAAATAGGACGAAGTGAATTAAATGAACTTACAGAGGAGTTGACTCACCAAATCCTTGGATTCAGTGGGTCTACTCTAGTGCAACATACTATACGAAGCAACAGGATTTCACCAATGAAGGGAAGCATTTGAGCTATAACAGCTTCAATGACAATATTTACAAGGATACCCCTCTCTAGCAAAAATAATTAGTATTGCTTATATCTAATCTTTCAAAGATGCAAGATGTAATAGTTTTATTTTGGACTGGACAGAAGCCACAATATTGCATTTTAACCCATTTTTTTCAGAATTCTATTATAACAGAATACAAGTAAAAAAGCAAACAGCTTTCAGACTATTCATAAAGAAAACATATATAACAATCCACTGAAATTTTCAGCTAGTACCGCATATTCTAAACACCTTTGTACAAAATGTATTTTTATTAAAGTACTAAATTACTTTGTTATAGATATATATATATTGTACCTTGCTATTCTGCAATATACAGAGGCATTCTTCCACAGAGCGAGGCTCTTTAGGAAAGTCAACTCCTGTCTCTTTTCTGCTATCAATGGATGGATTTTCTGAAGGAGAACTACCAACCACAAATGTGGCCTTTGCTGATGATTCTGGAAGAAGAGGCTTTACAGCTTCATCTGCATAAACATAAACAGTGGTATTTGAGAGAAAGTGAAACAAATGACTGTGCTCAAGGATAATTTTTTTTTAAATTACAGAACAAAAATAACTCCATGACAGTACCTTTTCTTTCTCTGACTTGACCTTCTTCTGTTTTTTTGGAATTGGGATTATTTTTTAAAGATACTGTTTGTTTTCTGCAGCAATTTTCTGGATTTTTTTTCTGGATTACTAAGGGGGAGGTTATAGGATTCTTCAAGGACAATGTGGATTCCATCTCAGTCTGCTCAAAGAAGATGTATTTGACAGCAAGGAGAAGAGCTAAACCAAGTGTAATTACTTGTTCAATGTCCATACTAGCCATTCTAGAAAAGATTAAAGAAAACAGAGAACACATTACATACTTTAACTTGCATTGCTGTGATGAGCTTTCATGACAATATTTTAAATCAAGGAAATAGCCCATCTCACTTTTTAAAAAATCTGTCTTTCTCCTTTCCTTCACAACAACTGTTTTCTATCAACTGGTGGCTCTCTGGATTCTTGACACCTAAGAGTTTGCTTATAAAACTTTTGTAATACCTAGACAAATAAAAATTGAAGTATTGCTGTAAGAGTCTAGATGCTAAGATTCTAAGTACTGGTAATAATTTCTGTACACAGGAAACAGCACAGGTTAGTACATGTCATTTACTATACACCCTTCTCTACTAACCAAATACTACTGCCATAAGAAAAAAGCTCTCTCAACCCATCTTATTACTTGTATAGTTACCAGCAGTGTGAAATAACAGCCCTTATGCACGGATCACAGTGCAACAGTAATGTATCACTGAATCCTGAATGGAGTACATTAAACATCTGAACAGCCTGAGCACCATTTTCAACCATCAAAACTGTGTATAATTATTCATGTTGGCTCAAGATAGATATAGCTGTTTTGATCAGTGAATCATGGTGACAGTGTTGGCAGGGGCTGTAGATTTGCACTCCCTCCCTCAGTGCATTCTCCCAGCCCTTCCAATAAGAACCACAGTCATGGTGAAGCAGATGATGGTAAAATCCAAAGAAACAAAACAACATTTTAAAAAAGAGAAAAACATGTGGCACCTTAAAGACTATTATATTTTAATGTGAGCTTTCGTGGACATATCAACTTTGTCAGATACTGTATATGGAAAAAATGAAATACTGGATGATGGTTTTAATCATCATAAAAATTAGTCATAAAAACTATTTGGTTTTAAAAGAAAATCCAGGTTGGTGAAACAGAAAACACACACCAAGAACAACTGTTAAGCAACTCTGTGTGTGAACGGCCTGATTCCTCCTATGAAATAAAAAAAATGACTTGCACAAGAATACAGCTTTACAAAGAAAGGAGCCAAATTTATCAGACAGGGTCTATGGTTACTTGCAAAACAATCAGTTCACTACAAATAATCTAAAACACATGACAGATACAATAAAATATCAGTTAGCAACACTGCATTTAAACACACCTGGAAAGATAGAATTGCCACAGAGAAACAATAGGCTCAATTCTTTTTGGAGCACTTTCACCCAGTCCCATAGAAATCTCTGTTGTGCTGTTTTGAACTGATGGCTCTGCTATCCAGCGACTGTGAGCATGAACAAGAACCAAGCCTAGGGACTTAAGTTTTAACAAGTCAATAGTTAGCAAGGTAGTTCACCCATCAATGTGAATAATACCCATATGAACTCAGGTACAAAGCTGACATCAAAAAGTTGTAAATATCACAACAGTTAATTTCAATGTATAGGTTATTTTATTGTTTAGATTGCCAATCCTCAAAAAGCTCTATATATTACAAAGCACTGTTTCTATACCTCTGCATGCTCAGTAAAAGTTGAAGCTTTTGTAAGATTCCAAAAGATTACATTTCACCTAGAGTGGTCGAAATGACTAGATAGGCGGGGTATAAATACAATAAATAAAAAAAATAAAAAAATCAAAAAGGCTGTTTATATATAAAAAGGAGTGACTTATGCTCTCCTTAATAAGAGGCTAAATCCTGTAACGTAAGCAAAGTTGTATATTTCAGTCTGCTCTTCACTAGGCAATAAAGAGCCCCTGTTGCAATTCTCAGAGATGGGGTGGAGGTGCACACATTGACTTGATGTGTGCATGCCCCCACCACCACAAGAACTGCAGCAGAGGCTCTTGTTTTACTAGCTAGGAATAACCAAAATGTATATAGTTGCCTACATTATGCAACAGGATTTTGGCAATATATGAGTAACTAAATCATATCCTTTAACTAATAAGGAAACATAAAATTCAGTCTTCAGTGTATATGTTAAAATCAGAAAGTATTTGTGTGTGTGGATCTGACTTCATACTAATCCTTCAGCTCACTGATCCTGCTATCCTTTTATCTCAGTTTGCATGTCATATACAAGCCAAGAGAAATATTAACTGACAAGTTTGAATCTTACATCTGGGAGAGATTCACCTTTTGATTTTCTGACTTAGGGTCATTTTCTGGACTTTTCCTATGAAAATACTTAACGAAGACAGAAACCTACCATAATCATTTTGACTCTCTGTGTTACTGGATTCGGTTTGTTTTCTTCTTCTTCTAGAACACGCGCAAAGTGACTGAGCTGCCATATAGGATGGCCTTCACGACTTTCCCGCGAAAGCTGGAAGAACAACAGCAGTTTATTCAGTAGCTGTATTAACTCTCCTACGCAGGCTTATGTTTCACTTATAATAAAAGCTCAGCTGCCAGATAAAAATGTATTCATAAATGAATACTACACCAAGTATCTTATCCAACTTGTTTTTATTTCTATCAAACATTCAAAGAGAAAATTTCCTGTTGTGTCAAAGGCACAACAGAGACTTTCTCTTTTGAGATAAGCATCGGTTCCTTCTATCTACTGAAAATACACATACATGTTACAATATAACCTACTGTTTAAAAATTTACTAGTAAAATGAAAGTATAAACAATGGCCAGAATCCTAATGCTTTTTGAGTAAGGTCTGTGTAAGTTGCTGTGGTTAGTTGAGACATACCCCAACATCTCATCAATTACACAATTAGCTGTGGTAGGTTATGTCCTATGCAAACACAAATAGGACACTAGTCATTTCACAAAAACGACCCACTATTAACTTCAGTATCTTATAAGATTCTGATTAACTAAATTATTTCACCACTATACTTCTACAAACACACAAATAGGCCTAATGATATTATATGAATCTTATGATAACAAACCCAAAAGCTTGAAAACATTTGTGGCTTTTATAATACGGTGTTGAAAATAAAGTACAGCATGTGTATTCTCTATCATGGATGACAATCCCATATACCTGCAGACTCTCATTGGATATATAAAAAATCATTAACAGAGTAAGGATTGTGCACTACTTCCTTTCATTTCATTTGCTGAATAAAATCAGTACTTCACAAATAATTTTTCTTTAGTCATTTTTATTTGTTTTTGATATATTAACACAAAACTATTAGGGAGAGGTAGACTTTTTTTGTTTTATTTTGATAATAACACATGACAATCCATTAATTTGTTAATGTTTGATATGGGAAGATTTGAAATTTTAAAAACCTGAATGTAGGAGAAATCAGGGCTTCAAGTGCGGGGCCCTTAATAGTTTTGGTTCAAACTTCCTTGCCTGCAATCATGTTGGTATTGAAATTGGGTTTGTGAGAGAAGCTCCTTACAGTGGTGCCTCGCTTAACGATGTTAACTGGTTCCATAAAAAAATCGTTATGTGAAAACATCGTTAAGTGAAACACCATTTCCCATAGGAATGCATTGAAAACTGGTTAATCCGTTCCAATTGGAACAGATTAATGCTTGCAATCATTAGCCCACCTCCTGAAACCTATGCAAACTTAATTTGGTGTTGTTCTGAGTCGTCGTTAATTTTTGGAGATTTTTTTTCTCTCTCATTGAAAAGCATTGGACCGTCCGTCCAATGCTTTTCAATGAGAGAGAAAAAAAATCTCCAAAAATTAACGACGACTCAGAACAACACCAAATTAAGTTTGCATAGGTTTCAGGAGGTGGGCTAATGATTGCAAGCATTAATCTGTTCCAATTGGAACGGATTAACCGGTTTTCAATGCATTCCTATGGGAAATGAACACCAAATTAAGTTTGCATAGGGTTCAGGAGGTGGGCTAACGATTGCAAGCATTTAAAACATGTTCCAAACATTGTAAGACACTTAAAAATGAGTGAAAACGGAAGAGCTTCAAAAGCACTGAAGCCGGCTTCAGTGCTTTTGAAGTCCTTTCCGATGTCCGTTTTTGCTCATTTTTAAGTGTCTTACAATGTTTGGAACCTGTTTTAAATGCTTGCAATCATGCAAGTTCTTATTAACTGAAAATCCACTTTCAACAGAAACATTACCATGAGACAGGATAAGGCACATTTTGACAACAGTCCAGAGGTCTGAGAAACTTTTTTTGGACATCAAAATACCACTGTAAAACGTATCCAGTCCAAATTCATCATTTTGTTTTGCAACATACGCTTGAAATTGAGCCTTGAACTCATTGTGGGCAGCTGTGGTTAAAGCTGTGTACTGTTGCTTTGATTTTTCTGCTACTGCGTCATTGATCTGATTTGATGCATGCAGAGCCCCTATTCTGATGATTCCAAAATTTGGCTTGTATAAAATGATAGTAGAATCCAATGCTGATAGGTCACACACCATCTTGAACTTCAAAGGACATCTCTCAATCAACTTTTCAACAACAGCTAATACCATGTTTCAACACTAAGCAAAACTCAGCCACTTGATGTTCACTCAGTTTAGTTTCTTTCAGCAGCTTCTTTGCTGCAAAGCCAATGTCAATCTTGCTTCTGTCAAGCAAGTTTTCAGACAATTTCATGTCAATTATTAACAACTGGGAACCAGAAGACATGTTTTGTAGTTTTTCCAATTTTATGCAACTAATTAGCTTCTTTATTAGCTTACAAAGTTCTTCATACAAAAAAAGGTACCAATCTTTTTTTGATTTTGACACTTTTGTAGAAATGGCTCACAGTCTCCAGCAATCATTTTCATGAAAGCCATTTTGCACTTCATGAGTAGATTTTGTGTTTCAGCTTTTATACAAATTGCAGGTTTACTGTGGTGGTGTTTTGCTTCTTCCACATACTTCTCGATGTTGTCTAAAACAATCATAGCTCTACCAAGGCACATAGTGGAGCAAAACATCAGGGGAAATAGTGTGCTTCTAGTCAGAGCTGTGTATGGTGCCCTTCTAGCTGGGCAATCTTTGAACAGATAATAAATGTTGCACAAGACTAAATTCAGGTACGATTTCACTGTTTGCAATCCTGTTTTAAAAGACCCATGTACAACATGAAGGGCACAAGTTCCAAAGTCAATCAATTCTTCTCCTTTACAGTCAAGGTCAGTTTTCTTCTTTTAGTTTTCTCAGAAAAAGGTGATTTATATTTGGCTTATTGATAGATACTTGTAATAATTTTGCAACTGATAAATAAGACATGTCTTCTTGAAACTTCTGAAGAAGGTCTTCAACAGTACCGTGTCTCCCCCAAAATAAGAGAGGGTCTTATATTAATTTTTGCTCCAAAAAACGCACTAGGGCTTATTTTCAGGGGATGTTTTAATTTTTTCCATGTACAACAATCTACATTTATTCAAATACAGTCATGTTATCTTCTGGTTGCCTCACAATGCTGTACAATGGTGGAGTGTGGGGTTTCACTTAACTAGGGCTTATTTTGGGGGTAGGGCTTATATTACGAGCATCCTGAAAAATCATACTAGGGTTTATTTTCAGGTTAGGTCTTATTTTCAGGGAAAGAAAAACACTGGTTAGATACTGTGTGGAAACTTTATGACAGTAATCATCCCCCAAAAATAACCACTAAATCCATCTGTCCCTTTTGAACCACCTTATTCAAAGCTTCATCAAAACAGATAAATGCTTGGGACTGTTTCAGCTGTTTCAGTAAAAATCAGAAAAATATGGTTCCAAGTCAAAAGCAACTACACTGCTTTTATTTTTCCAAGATGAAACTGTTGAGCTCTCTGGCTATCTGACAACATTTGCTTGAATAACTCACTGATGTGGTTACAAGTTAAATGACATCTTCTTCATCAGCAGTTGCAAAGCCCACAGGCACTCTGTTTATCCTAACACAGTCCTTGATTACATAGGCAGCCATACTAATACAAGTTTGTGTGGTGGGTAATTCTTTGCCATTTTCATCACTTTGATCATGTTTTACAGTTTTCGCTGGGGCTGTCTCTTCACCTTCTCTGGTTTTACTATCTCAACTTCTACTTGGCTTTGAACCTAAACATATTGTGATGGACTGTTGACTTAATTTAATTTTCAGGTTCTGTACATGAGGCTCCACAGCTCTAATTCCCATATTACTTAGTTCAATGGTTTTGTCACACGCTTTACAACAACCTTTGCATTTGTCTCCAACAACTGATAGCCATGGTATGAAGTCAGGATAAAATCTGAAATCTAGCCACTGCATATTAAAAACTGTCCTCTTAGAAGTCATCTTCAAAATGTGGTTTCAGATACAGCCATACATAGAACCACCTGCACAACACCAAGATGTTAGCAGATTTTTTTCCCGGCAAGTAGGAACTTTCCAAAGCTGGGAAAGTTTCACTTTCCCGCTCCAGAAAGTGTAATGAGCAGATCAGCAGCAAGAAATGAGGTGGACTTTAATTGCTTACAGATAATTTCTGCAATCTAGAGAAGCAGAGACCCCTCATTTGCAACCTTTATGCATGGGAGAAGTCAGGGAAGAGGGTGGGAGAGCTGGTATTCTGTAAACTCCAGCAGGAACAAGCAATCATATTTGAAAAAAAAAAATACTTTGCATGGTGCAGAGTAGAAAGTGCTAGTTGACTGAAATCCAACAGCAGCAAAACTCATTTGTAACTCTGTGCTGGGTTTGGCAGGAGACAAAATGTCCATTCCATACACAAGCATAACCCAAAAACATGCTTATCTTTATATGTAAGTTCAATGTAGTATTAGCAGGTAAGGAGGAAAAGAGTTAGATGTTTAAAGTTCGTGTCTTGCTAAACGTTTAAACTACCCTTACTTTGCAAATGCTATAGGCAGACCTTGGAAATCATGAGAGGATAGAGCTCAACAAACACATTAGGCTGGTTGTGAGGGGTGGAGCTGAGAAAAAGATGGAGCTGGGAAAGGGCATCATTAAGTTTTAATTGTATTCTACTACTTCTCTATTCCAGTTGCCACAAGAACTCTTGCAGCAGCAGGTCAAAAATCCACTGCTTGAATATATTTTAAGCGCAATTTCCCTGACTTCAGACCAATTTCCCTGACTTTCCCTGACCAATTTCCATTTCCCTGACTTTCCATAAAATAGCAACCCTGTCTCGGCACTTCTACCAAACAAAAGGGTAATTCTTCACCATCTTACTTAACAGAATTGGAGTAATATATAAAATAGCTATAACTTTGTAAATATTCCCTCTTAATGTCATGATTAATAGGGAAAAATATTATTCCACAATCATTTCCAAATCTTACCAAGTTTATTTTTTGCTATATTCTCAGATCATTTCATAATAATGTGTCTAACCGGTTTAGATTTGAAACACAGTAATTTAAACATTTTAGAAACTAATTATTTTATAATTACTTCTTGTTTATGTGTGCTTACCTCTAATACCAGAGACACACATGCAGGAAAGAAGGTCATGAAAACAAAGTAGTTGGCGAGAACAGACATGCAGCCAAAACAACACATGATTTCAAGTTGTCTCACTCCTGTTACAAAGACAAACACCAAACAGTTGAAACCACAGTAATCTTCTATTGAAAGATGAACTAATAAAGTGAAAATATGTTGAGGTAAATGAGGAATTATAATCTGAATCCAGAAAGCTACAGGTCTTTACAATTTGCAGACAAATCTCACTGGATTTTTCTGTTTATAAGACGCCCCCCCCCCATTCTAACCCCCAAATTAAGAAAACTTAGCTTTGAGTATTCAGCCTCTGGGCTGAGAACATCGGACATTATGAGCCCCTGTTGCATTTGAGCCTACAGGCTCCACCTCCAAGAGGTGTGTTCAGCATCAAACTGACGTCAGTTCTGTAAGGCTCATGATTGGAGGAAGCTAAGTCTCCTGACTGTAGGTAGCCTAGCCTTGTGACTGAAGGAAGCCTGTTTACAGAGGTAAGGTATGTGCTGTTTTGTTCTCTCCTCAGCTATCTCAGCTTACTTCCGTGCAAAAGATGCTCCTCAATTTTTAGTATAATGATTTTAGGGGGAAAAGCAGCATCTTATACACGAAAAATACGGTAACTAACATAAGTTATGTACAAAAACAATGTGCTAATCCAAATATTATTACTTACAGTATTTTCAAAGTAACAAAGGTCCATTTCATAGAAATAATATACAGGTAAACCAAGGGCCTGCAGTTCATTCAGCACAACAACTTCAACAAGCAGTAAGACAACACAGTGTCTGATATACTGAAAGATCCCAAAACTTTATGCTAATTTTTTAAAATTCTAAAACTTCCTCATCTTACCAGACATTGTACCAACACCAATGACAAGACACTCAACAAGGGCATCAAGTGTAAACGTAGGGCCCAGGATTGCCATTCCACGTGAAATATTCTCTCTTACTTCATCCTACATAAAATACATTTTTTTTGTTAACATTTAGGTCAGGAAAAGGATGCTTGTTAACTATCCTAATGAAATATAACAATTAAAAAGAAGACCCAACAGGCATAATTATTTTATATCCAGGTTTTCTCAGTTGTGAATCTACAATAAGACCCTCATAATTATTTTATATCCAGGTTTTCTCAGTATGCATGGGATCAGTATCCGCTGATTCACTTATCCAAATTGAAAATATTAAAAGAAAAATCCTAGAAATATATTTATAAAGATGAAGTCACCAGAACTAGCCACAAGAGGAAGCCAGAGACCATGCTATGTATAGCATTTGCTATTAAAATAGTATTCATTATAATCCATATTTTTCAGCATCCATGCGGGGTGGTGGTGGAACTGATCCCCTGCAGATACAGGTGTCCTACTGCATTCACATAAGGAAATTACTTCATGTGTATTCTCCTTTTCAGACAACTGCTGCTAAAATGAACTGAAGATGATTATTACATATGAGCAAAATATCTTATATAAAATATTTCAGGAATTTTACAGCAGTAGAGACATGTTTTGTTTCTTAATTATCTCTAAGGCTTTATTCTTAAATTATGTTGAATATCTTTGTTCTTTAATGAAACTTATATATAATCACCACATTATTGCTCTATTTCAGATAATATGTCCTGCAAATGTTACACAATGTGAGACAATATTCAAACGGTATTTTTTTTACTTTACAGCACTTTTGAAACAACTGTAATGCATATTATTTTATTTTCTAGTCACCCAGTAGCTGTGATTCTCTAGGACTTTTTTTAAAAAAATATGTCAAAATAATTTAAAATAAGATATTAAAATACACAATATTACAAAACATCATTAAAACAATTTGAAAAAGGAAGATAAACATTTCAACTAATGGATGATACAGATAAAACCATTTTCCACAGACTAAAAAAGACACTTGAGAAACAGAGTAGAGAAATGTTAAGAATCCTAAGTTCTTGCTGCAGAAAAAAATTCCTTGGAGTGTGCCTCAAAAAAAAAAAAACATTGAAATAGGCAAACTTTTGAAAAATTAAAACATTTTCCCAGTTTGCACTTTGGAATATTGTTCTGATTGCTTTATCAAACTACTTTAGTTTTGTCAGAATTTGCAGCTATTTTAACACTTGTAATACGCTAGCTCAGAAACAGAGCTATGACTCAGGTCTTAAATTTTCTACATTCTAATCCCAGTACTCCATCTTCAACATGGAGACAATACTGATCTATTGATTGGATTTTTGTAAGAATTATATATGACCCACTGAATAGTCTGTAAATCTCTAAACATATTACAAGCATCAATATTTTATTCACTTGGACAAATATACCCTCTAACCATTTTTGTAGCTCTGTTTGTTAGGCATGTTGGTATCCTTTTAGGCTACAATCCAATACTTGTCTGTTCAGAACAAGACACTCTCTGAAATCTGTGGCTTAACATATTAAATCACACAAAAGAAGGCCCACTGAATCAATGGTGATTTGGTGAGTCAACTGCTCCGTAAGTTTCACTGACTCAAAACAGGTCCCATGTAATTGCAACTTAATTTAGCACACAACTAGAGTAGGCCCATTTGAATCAATGAAACTTATAAAGAAGTTGACTCACCAAATCCCTATTGATTTAGTGGGCCTACTCGAGACTTACTATACAGCCATTGAGTGCAAGGGCACTTACTCTTAGACAAAGAACTACAACTTGCTTTTATCTTTGCTAAACAGCAATGTACTACATGAGCTTCTGTTAGCCTTCTAGTTTTAACTAACCAAAGTTGCTTCAAGTAAGACAAAGAAATGCATTAAGACAGATAATACTTGTCAACCAGTTGTGGTACTTTAAAGAGCATATAAACCTGGATATATGTTTTATTTCTATTGAAACAGAGAAGGTGGCTGACCTGTGAATTGGAACTGAGTGCAAACTTAGCTAATGCACTAGCTCTGGAGAGGTCAATCAGAAGCAAGAAGAATGGCAGTGCTTCACTGAAAAGATACAAAAACATATTGCCTATTCAAAATACTACCAACACTTGTAAGCAGAATGCACACACATCTTGAAAATTAAACAAGTTACAAAGGCCCCGAACCCTTTACACCAGAATGAGCAAAGCTTTACTCTTAAGCTTCAAATATATGTTAAGAAGCTTCACAAATGATGTATTTTACTGGATACAATCATGCATGACATCTCATTTTTCACATGTCGGTCTTTAGTAAATATACAGGCACTTCATGTGATTAACTGGGCTGCAGTCTGCAAAAGCCAAAGAAAATTCAGAAGTCTTCAAGGTGCCTTGTTGATTGGGATAATGGAAATAATAGGCAATATCCAGGTGATGAAACAGCAATGATGGCACAGAAAAAAAAGTGTGATATAATGGATCCTCTGCTTTTGAAAGGCAAGGAAGAATACTGTTTCAGAGCCAGTTTAGCACTACAGTAATTATTGAAATTGAAGCATAGGAGACTTCAGCACAGGACTGCTAATATTTAATAATGTGGGCCCAATACTAGACATATAGAAGAAAGGAAGTGAATAGTGGAAACATCCCACAGGTCTCTTAAGTGTTCTTAATTCACATGCAGGGTATAACTCTGTAAGAAATGTTGTAAGATGTAAGCTCCTCCTCACAGCATGAAGTGAGCCCATGCTGGAGGCTTTGGGCTGTGTTCCATTTTGCCCCATGTCACCCATTCTCCACTTCAGGGCCAGATCTGCTTCTGTGCAAATTAATGTACACTTTCACACACACACAACAGGAAATAATACGTACTTCAAGCCTGTCAGCTCCTTGTCAAGGAAATGAATCACCACAGTACTGAAGACAAAGCTTGAGAATATTGTGAAGAGCCCAGCAATACCTACAAAAAAGAACAGCTCTTGTAACAGGACACTAAAACCCCCACCAGCACAAAGCAATACTCTGAGCATGCACAAATCCAAATTCTTTACTCTGCAGCAAGCATTACACATCAAACCCCACATTACCATATACCTAGTACTTGTGTTAATGGCACACAACTATGTCTTATGTAGGCACAGGGAGAGAGTGGTGAACTGAGGCTGTTCTACCTAGTTCTTAATGTACTTTAACCTCCTGGCCCCTGAGAAATATTTTAAAGAAAAAATTTAGTATACACAATATTTTACCAATTAACTCATTTAGATTCATTCATACACACATAGGTACTTGCATACACGCATATACATCTACACTTATGCCAATGTGTTTATCTACAATCCAGACTTTGGAGCAAGTTGTCTAGCCAATGATAGAACTGAACAACAAGGCACAGCATTAAAATTTCAACAGCTGCCCAGATGCACTGTGTTGTGACAAATTCAGTGCTGTTGCTTTGCACAATAAATTCCACTAAAATAGGCCCACTGAGTCAATGCAGTTTTAGTGAGTCAATTCCTCCCTAAGTTCCGTTGATTCATATGGGCTTACTCTAGCTGAGACTATGCTGAAGTTAGAGTAAGTGTATTTGAATCAACTGCCTATTCTAGAGGAATTTAGTACACTAAGCAACAGTTTGATATGACACATTTTTCCTTTTCAAAATATGTTCACTCTTGTAACAAACCACGTTCAATTGATGAAATATGTATCACCATGGAATGGATAGTTACCACCTAAAGAGTTAGCAATCACATGCAACTTCTGCAAAGCTGAGCAATGAAGATGACCTGATATAGCCAGTGTCCATATCAGGTCATCTTCATTGCTCAGCTTTGCAGAAGTTGCATGTAATTGCTAACTCTTTAGGTGGTGACTGTATATACTAACTCTTTAGGTGGTAACTGTGTGTGTGTGTGTGTGTGTGTGTGTATTCTGCAGCATATCCACAATGTGTCTACCAATCAAGCAATCTTCTGTATTTACTGGACCAAATTTTGGCAATGTTATGCATAGGAGGGACGTGGTGGCACTGTGGGCTAAACCGCAGAAGCCTGTGCTGCAGGGTCAGAAGACCAAGCAGTCGTAAGATCGAATCCACGCGACGGAGTGAACGCCCATTGCTTGTCCCAGCTCCCGCCAACCTAGCGGTTCAAAAGCATGCAAATGCAAGGAGATAAACAGGGATCACCTCGGTGGAAAGGTAACAGTGTTCCGTGTCTAAGTCGCACTGGCCATGTGACCACGGAAGATTGTCTTTGGACAAACGCTGGCTCTATGGCTTGGAAACGGGGATGAACACCGCCCCCTAGAGTCGAACACGACTGGACAAAAATTGTCAAGGGGAACCTTTACCTTTATGCATAAGTCAGGACATGTGCAGAAGTTAATTATTTTCCATTAGCTTGTTTTGTACTGACATACAAAAAAGTAAAAATCTTACCCAAAATATATTTTGACCCCAGCTGTCTCAGATTTTGAAACTGGAAGTATATATAAAGGATTGCTATACATCGTGTGATTGTCAATATGATGATATCACTGCTCAAAACATCCTGCAAGAGAGAAAAACAATGTAAAGTTACTTTTCAAATAAAATAAACACTATATCACATATCAATTAAAAAAATTAAGCATGACATATTTCTGCAGTGTTACTATTATTAATGTGCAGTCTGCATGGGATTGATTCTGGCAACTGAAAACTATGTATTAAAACTGCAGCCAACCTATTCTTAGTTGCACTTATACAAAAGAAAAAAGAAAAGAAAAGAAAAGCAGTTCAGTGGTTTAGGTCTCTGGTTGCAGAACCAGAGGCTGGGGGTTCAATTCCCCACTGTGCTTCCTTGACAGGGATTGGACTCAATGATCCATAGGATCCCTTCCAGTTTTGCAGTTCAAAGATGAAGAATCACAGTCACTCCATCTTTCTTTACAGCTGACAACTAACATTACACATTGTTTCATTCAGTTCAATCTAGTAGATTCATTTTCAAACAGGATGATTACACTCGCAAGAAGTGTTGAAAAGGACAGATTTATCATCTTACTTCTTCAAATTTGGGGCATTCATAATTCCAGCCACAGATCTTGTCATTGCCGGTGAACATTTTCATGGACATCATACAAATGGTAAGGGTTACAGTTCCCACAATGACCTCCCATGGGTGAGAGGCCACAAACAGGCCATGCATTCGAAAGAGCCTGGATAGCATGTTTGAAATAACTTTTGCAAGCCTAGGACTAAATACAAATAAAGAACTTTGTTAGTATAAAACAACAACCAACCAATACAATACACCGTGTGATTGTCAATATGATGATATCACTGCTCAAAACATCCTGCAAGAGAGGAAAACAATGTAAAGTTACTTTTCAAATAAAATAAACACTATATCGCATATCAATTAAAAAAAATTAAGCACGACATATTTCTGCAGTGTTACTATTATTAATGTGCAGTCTGCATGGGATTGATTCTGGCAACTGAAAACTATGTATTAAAACTGCAGCCAACCTATTCTTAGTTGCACTTATACAAAAGAAAAAAGAAAAGAAAAGAAAAGCAGTTCAGTGGTTTAGGTCTCTGGTTGCAGAACCAGAGGCTGGGGGTTCAATTCCCCACTGTGCTTCCTTGACAGGGATTGGACTCAATGATCCATAGGATCCCTTCCATTTTTGCAGTTCAAAGATGAAGAATCACAGTCACTCCATCTTTCTTTACAGCTGCCAACTAACATTACACATTGTTTCATTCAGTTCAATCTAGTAGATTCATTTTCAAATAGGATGATTACACTCGCAAGAAGTGTTGAAAAGGACAGATTTATCATCTTACTTCTTCAAATTTGGGGCATTCATAATTCCAGCCACAGATCTTGTCATTGCCGGTGAACATTTTCATGGACATCATACAAATGGTAAGAGTTACAGTTCCCACAATGACCTCCCATGGGTGAGAGGCCACAAACAGGCCATGCATTCGAAAGAGCCTGGATAGCATGTTTGAAATAACTTTTGCAAGCCTAGGACTAAATACAAATAAAGAACTTTGTTAGTATAAAACAACAACCAACCAATACAATTCCCCTCAAACTCTAAATATTTGGATAAAGGATCAATGTATGGAGTTCTGTACAGGATTCTCAGATAACAGAATGCTTTTTCAATATATTTCTAAATATAGAAGATTTAAATCTAGAGCAAATGATTTGACTCTTAAGATATTCTGGACTTCATTCCAGAATCTGTTGATGGCTGGGTACATGGGAGTACCTAATCTGCCACACAGCACATGTAACCGACTCAGTAGTAGAACTGATTCGAAAGAATTGGAGACATACATAAACATTCTTGTGCTCAGGGCCCAAACCCTCTCAGCAAATAAGAAACTTCCTTTTTCCCTTGCTTGACAAATCAGGATCCTGTGCTTTACACTCAACCTACCTGGTTGGAGCAGCAGTAAACAAAAATGTTACACAACCCAAGATGCTATCTAATGTAATACAAAAGACTTGCTGAAATGTGGAGACAGACAATTGAGAGGAAAACTCACATGCAGTTTATGGCTAAATGCACTTTGCAAAAAGGTGCCAGTGAACTTCCATGTTTGTTCTTCCTAAGAAACAGACCTATCTGCAACAGCAGGACATGCAACCCTTCTGCATTTACACCATAAATCTTTCACAAGGTGGACCCAAGGTTGGGAACCACTACTCTAAGAGGTTACAGTATATCCTGACATGGCTTTTTAAATTCTGGCTAACTGACAACAGCAACAAGAGACATGCCTTTCCAGCCCCTGGCTATATATCTGTTACACTATGCCCCTTTATCTGCACCTGGTTGACAGAAGGATATACTGTAATTTGATACATTTACACTATGCCTCAAAATTCAATAAACCTTACACACATACACACTCAGTACACAAGTGACTGAGATAGCTATGTTTCATTCTAATGCCCAACAATGGAGGCACATGTGAAAGTTTATTAAGATAAAGCCTCATGCAATCCTTTCACTGTAAAATTACACATAATATCTGGGGTCTCAAAAACTTATTATTAGGACACTCAAGAACGGGAAGAACATTCTAGCAGAATATGCGGGCTCTGAAACAACAAATATAAATTAGAACAAAGTTAAATATAGTAATTCAACTGGATGCTCATAGCAAATTCAGGAGATTGGACAGGAAGGATTTATGTAATGTAGGTTCTTCAGTAGAATACAAATAACAAAGGAAGAGGATGTGTGGTTCACTACTACAGTTGTTGCTATTCTTGTTATGTAGTTGATTATTTTTTATTGTCCACATTTCCATACCACCTTTTGTCCAACACCCTTACACACACAGTTCTTCCCTCACTCCCAGATTTTTATCCTAGATCCAGCACTCTAACCACTACAACACAATGGCCCACCCAGTGACTCAACAAACACTTCTGCAATTTAAATTTCAGTTTTGAATCCTACCTGCAAAAGCACTAGGTAATCTGGGAAAAAATCAGGCATAACCTTTTTCTGCTAGCTGATATCAGAAGATATGCCAAGCAATTTGGTAGAAAAGATCTGCTAGTGAATACTTATAGGCAGAAGAGACAAAAAATGGGGAGGATAAGGGGCAGACTGAGGAAACAAGTTACTCTGCATTCAAACCCGCTTCTGCAAAAGAACATACTCAACAATGTTAAGTTAGGCAAGGACAAAGGTAGTCCTGAATAACTTCCAATAACCCTAGGTCACAAAGTAGCTGGAACCAGCACAACTCAAGCTAGCCTAGCATTCACTAAGCCAGTCCTTGGACACCTTTGCCAATAGAAGTTACAGTTTTTTAAAAATTACATGTTAATTAAATTTAGGAAACTACATTCCTTTATTTGTAGAACAACATTCCTAAAACAGGACTATTCTTACGGCATATTTCAAGAGTCAGATTTTAGATATGATGGGACAGATATCTATCCATTTAAATGCTTTTGCTGCGGCCCTACCATTCCTGCCAAGATTAGCCTTAAAGCAATATATGCAAAATATTTCCTCAAGAGCAAATTGTAATTTTTTTTCTCTAGTAGCACAATTAATAATTCATAGGCAATCTGAGTACTGTATTATTTTCCATCACGAAAATTTGACTACTGGAACCTCCCCCCCCCCATCAAAGTACTTCAGAAATCATACAACCACACCAGAAGCAAACTACATTAATTTCCCAGACAGGTAAAGTCAATCATCAAACAATGGTATAGAATTTCAAAAGATTCACATGGATTGCAATAGTTCAGACAGTTCTCATTACAACTGCTGGTGACTTTCTGCAAATTGGAGATGCATCCAAATGCAAACTAGTAAAAATGACTAGTAGGCATGTAAATCCAATTAGTTTACAGTGGTCTTTCATCCACAAAGACCCAGTAATATTTCTACTTTTAATGCCACATACCTATCCTTGTGGCAGACAGCTACTTCATTTATCTTTTAGTCACCTTACTTTCATGAAAAAGAGAATCTGGTACAGTATATAAAGACTGCTATACAATTAGCTCTTCATTGGCAGATAAAGAAAAAATTCTTCCATCATCCATCCAGTACAGTACTGAAAAGTTCAAGTACAGAGGTGATCAGCTGACTGCAGAAAGCTTCTTCTAGAAAACTCCAACTTAATACCAAAGAAGAAGAATATTAATCTTGGGACATGCTGACCAACATCAACAGATTCCTAGAAGCTGTGTCAAATATGAAATTAGAATTACTTTAACCTCTATTTGGGAATATCACTACCTGAACACTAGCACTTTTTAAAGAAAATCAAACATACCAACAAGTAACAAAAATCCACAGGTAGATTCTTTTGCACCCCCCTGTATTCACTTCTATCCTTGGGTTTCCTAGGATTTATGAAATATCTTCCCCATACAATTAAGCAGAATTTTTTTCAAACAGTTAAAACAGATGTGAATATGTGAGAACTCAAGTGTAAATTATAACATCCCTGCACTTATCAGTACCTGGTTTCAGCAAATCTCTAAAATGCACCATTAGTGGCCTGAAAATAACTCAACTCATTCAAAACAATTATTACTTTAATAAACATGATGCCAAAAAAATAAAAAGCATTAAACCACCTGTTAAGAAAATAGATCACTACAATGAAAAAAGTCAAATGCTGATATATTTGTTTCACATCTATAAGATTCTTGTTAATACATGAACAATACTGAAGTGGCAACGATCAAAATATATGAGGGGAAACAACCAACAGAAGCTCAAACAGTGTTAAGACAGAATTCCCTATTTTAATTTAACAGCTGATACAACTCTTTGATGGAGAAGGCATGCTTTGCTTCTGACAAAAATACTTGGTCGTTTTTTAAGGCTGTTATTTATAACGATTCCAGATTGTTCCGTCTGAGTGCCTGCGGCAATATTAGGAATTAAAACTAAAATGTACAAGTTATGGAAAAAACGAACAGTACGACTCGGACAGTAAATCACAAGCCACACAATAAAGCCAAGGACTTCACTCCTCAACCTCCAGGCATAAAGCCAGAGGCGCAGGACGCCCCTCCTCGGCGCGCTCTCTCTCTCTTTTGTCAGGGATGAAGACCAATGTCCTCTCCCTCCGTGGGTCAACTAAGATACAGTATGAGGATTTTAGAAAAAACAAACCAGCGGGGCAACTACCACGGAAACAACATGGAGAGATCGCCGAGACAGCTCCGGCCAAACACCTGGGCTAGGCACAGGATTGGGATCGAGGCACGGGGTGGAGCGGCGTCCGCAACCGGCAGCGACTCGTCAACTCTGGTGTGGTTCTGACCTTCTCCCGCCCACCGCGCCCAAGTCAGCCGAGACCGACCGCGGCGGGGGAGGGGGGGCGGGGGGGGGGGGGGGGAAGGCAAGGCCGGAGGCGGCGGCGGTTTGTGAAGCGTACAGTAAGGAGAGGGGTGACTGGGGGGGCAGCGACGTCCCTCTCCGCCCACGAGAGCCCCTTTACCCGTCCCGCTCCCCCGGGGGCTGGTGCAGGCCTCGGGCTCACACCCGCTCGTCATGCCGCGAACGCACCTTCCCCGCTGGGGCTGTCTCACAGCGGCCGCCCTCACTGGGCTCGGAGCCCCGAAGTCCTCTCAGACAGGAAGGAAAGGGAGACTCGCTCTCTCTGAGGTAGCTCGAGCGTCACCAGGAAGGTCCTCTCCAGCGGCGAAAAGAGCTGCCCGCGGCGCGCCTGCCCAAAATACTCGTCACCCTCAGAAAATGGTGG